CTACATTTTTGACGAATGGACCTTTCGTAGTCATCGATTGCGCGCGACAGAACGAGTCTATCAAGAGCGCTACTGTGGATGTGCGCATAGAATTTGATTGCAAGGAGAACGTGCCTGCAAATACTACTGCCTACTGTCTCATCTTGCACGATCGTGTCATCGAATACTGCCCATTGTCCAATGTAGTGCGCAAAATCATGTAAATTGCAATGTCGACAGTATTCCAATATAAGAAAGATTCATGTATCGTAATGAGGTGTAGTCTCAAAGGTGTTGTCATGACTACACCAACGTTTGTCGATCTGCAAGGTTTCATCGTTGGCAAAAACTCCTTCGTCGTGAAGGAGTTTGCCGCTCTCAGAGAAGGATATATTCTCTCTCATTATATCTTCAAAAGCCCCGAGCCGTGGAATTTTCTCAGCAAAATGGATAAGCAGCGCGTATCCTGGGTGACGGTCAATCATCACGGATTGCAATGGGACGATGGAACGGTTCGATACTTCACTGCTAAAGACCTGATTACAAGGGCGTTGAGGACGGTGACGGAGAATGAAACATTGCCCATCGTTTACGTAAAGGGGCTTGAAAAACGAGAATGGTTGCGGGATTTGCTTCAGGACGACGCGAGAGAGGATGTCTACGTCGAGAGCATCGACGAGCACTACGAAGACGTGGAATCGTTGAGAAAGATGGACGCTACACATACTTTACGTTGCCACAAACATGTATCGAATTGCGCTTTGCAAAATGTATTTAAACTGTTCAATTGGTGGCACTGTCATAAAAAATAAAATGTATATTATCTATATTATATATCGATTTTTTCTTATTCCCTTCCTGCTGAAACACTCCCACGATCTCATAAAATTAAACCTCAATCGAAGATCAGCGTCTTTTAACCATTGTAACTAGGGAAGGATGAATAAAGAGAATCTTCGGTTTTAATCATTTTAATGCTCTTATTTCCCTCATCATCTCCTATCGACATCAGTTGTCCTTCGAGCTCTACATTTAAGAACTTTGTCCGCAACGACATTGCATGGTTTGCATTTTTTTACACGCGTGCGATGAGATCTTCGCGGTCATAGCGTGCGTCTCCCCTCTCTCCGCAGACCCAGCTAGGGCGAGAGAGAGAACGACAGCGTCGACCGTAACAGATAATAAGACAGTCACTGTCAACAGCCAGGTTTCGGCGCTTGGCCCCGTGACTCATAACATGGAAAAATAAGAATACGCGTCCAGGTGTTCGCGCTAATCAAAGGCATCCCGGTGATATCTATTACATGCACGCGCCTCCGCGCCGGGGATCGCGTAGCACCGCGGTCCTCCTCCCTGCACCGCGGATTCATTCACCTTGATATGAAAGTCGCTATCAGCAGCCAGGTTTCGGCGCTTGACCTCGCGACTCATAACATGGACAATAAAAATACGCGTCCAGGTGTTCGCGCTAAAAAAGTATCGAAACGAGTGACAGGTCAGCACCTAGATATCTGTTACATGTCACGTAGTGACAGGTCAGCACCTTGCGTGACGTCAAGGTCACTAGCCTTGGAGTACCCCTCCCCGCTCCCCCTCGCCACGAAGTACCCCCTCGCCACGGAGTACCCCCTCCCCGCCCCGCTCCCCTCGCCACGGAGTACCTCCCCGCCCCGCTCCCCCCTCGGAGCTCCCGGGTTTAGAACACCCTAGTACCCCCTACTAACATGTCCACGGACGTACCGACATAAAACGGACATAATTCAGACGTCCGATGGACGTCTTGTGCTATATGGGTTACCAGCCATTGGCGGTGTTAATAAGTCCCCAATATTGGCCCATATCAAGTCCTTATCCAATTTCTTACTGTATCCCTTCAGATTTTTTTTATACAACACAGGATTTCTTTTTACTAATTCTATTAATGTCCTCCACATGCTGATTTGTGTTTCCGATTCATCATTATGATCATCATCAATCACATCTACTTCATAATCCATATTTTTTTTCTAAGTTTAACCGAACTGTTAATAAACTGTAATAATAAACAGCAATAATACAATAAATAGCAAAACTTAAATTGCAATTAACGACGTTGCAACCGTTGCAACTAAGCACGAACCAGCACGAACAGTCTAAATACATTTCGAGCTATCTTTTCGTGCCCTAACCTTCCTGAGTTTTCCTCCTGCGTTCTGATTGGTCGAGCGTAAGCGTAAGAGTAAAGCTGCCATTTCACGGAGCGAAGCTAAAGCTGGCGTTTACCCCCACTCCATCGCAACACAAGTCAGCTTTGCTTTAGCTAACGCTAAAGGCCTCCTGCCTTTTTATGGAGCGTATTCTTCGCTGCTTTGAGGTTGTGTTTCAGTGAAGTTGAATTCCTGGCTTTCGCTGGCTTTCTAGTTTTGTTTATAGTGGAGTACAAATAATAAAATGGATGAAGAAAGTGGATTAGCAATTGCAATTGCAGAAATACAAAAACGACGTACAGCCGCGGCTGCAGCTGTTGTGATGCATTTGCAGAAGAAAAGAAAATATAAGGAAAAAAAGCATTGGGTAGCACCAATTTTTAAAAACCGTGACCGAAACAGTTTCTTCTTTGCGTCAGTGCCAAAATTATTGTTAGAGGACATACGATTCCATAATTATTTCCGAATGACTGCAACTCAGTTGGAGGAATTATTATGTCTAATTGGACCACAAATACAGAAGCAGGACTTTCTTCGACAATCTATCTCACCTTCTGAAAGATTGGCATTAACATTGAGGTATGTTTACTTTTGTATGTATATATGTATTAATAATAATATTATATGACAAAATCTTTAAATGAATATATAATATGTGTATTATAACATATAACATAAAATTGTACATATGAAATTGTAGATATCTTGCTTCTGGGGATTCCATGACGTCGATGTCATATCAATATCTTGTGGGATTGACAACATCGTGTAACATTATCCACGAAACGTGTGAAGTAATTTGGAATTGTTTATGTCCTTCGGTTCTTCCAGGTCGACTAATAGAAAAAGACTGGTTGGATATTGCCAAAGATTACGAAGAAAAATGGAATTTCGTTCATTGTATTGGATCCATTGATGGCAAGCGTGTCATCATTCAGGTATGTAAAATCACATTAACAGTATTTACCAAGAAAACCGCAAGAAAATATCACAATTCGGAAAAGGCCCTATTCTGTAGAATTACTTTAAAATAATTTTCTTTTAGTGTCCTAACAATGCTGGCTCCACATATTTTAATTATAAACGCAGTCACAGCATAGTTTTAATGGCTATTTGCGATGCAAATTACATATTTCGCTTCGTGGATATCGGAGCATACGGACGACAAAGCGATGGTGGAATTTTTAGAAATTGTGCTATAGGAAAAGCGTTCGATGAAGGCCGGATGAATATTCCGCAGCCATCAGCAGTTGGAGCAGGAGGAACTATTTTACCATACTGCTTTGTAGGAGATGAAGCTTTCCCGTTAAAACCGTACTTGCTTCGTCCATATCCTGGAAGAGGTGGTCTTACACCAGAACGAGATATTTTTAATTATCGTTTGAGCCGTGCGAGACGAGTCGTAGAAAATGCATTTGGCATATTAGCCAGTCGATGGCGAATATATAGAAAACCAATTATCGCTAGTACTAAAAACGCAAAATTAATGATTCAGGCAACTATTTGTCTCCATAACTGGCTTCGTCTACAAGACAAGGATGATATAAACGCAAATGTATCTTTAACAGATATCGATAGTATGGAAGATGGACGTGCATTCAAAAATATTTCAAACTGTGGGTCTAACATGAGTGCTAAAGAATGTGTAAAAATTCGAGATGAATTTTGTCATTATTTTAATAATGATGGGGCCGTACCGTGGCAAAATGATAGAAATAAATAATAAAGTTATATTTCTTGTTTTTTTAATAAACTTAATTTTATTTCTTATCTTTAATGTTTTATTATAAATGCCTTTTCTTTGCAGTATTGAGAACTTGCAATAGTTGTATCATTACTTCATCGACATCCTGAGGATCAATTTCTCGCAGTTGGGCAGCTATAAGATTGGCAAATGACATTATTTTATCAGGTGGTGACGAACTAGGCAATTTAACAGTCACTGGTTGATTAAGAGCATTAGCAATTCGATCAATGGCTGCATTATCAGAAATACTCGTACTCCGACGTTTACTACCTACAATTAAATTCTAATTTGTAGTCATCGTCAAAAGGTGATTTTTGTTAAAATTCTCAAAACTATACAGCAAATGTATGATAAGAATAGAAATAAGAAGATTAACTTACGCGATCCACGACCACTGCTGCTGTCATCACACAAAATACTATTTCTACTATCATCATCATAATCTTCATGAAGTTCTTCATTGCTTTCAAATCTCGGAATATTAGTTGCAGTTCTGTAATTAAAATATTTCTATACACTGCTACATTGAGACATATTTATATGCGTGAAATTTATCCATACTTGCTTGTAAGTTGCACATCACTAAGAAACTGCATTCTATCAAAGTGTACCCATTTATTTGTCTGTGACGTCGCTGCTGAGCCACTAGGACGATATTGCTTATTTTGTTGTATTCTAAAAGAATCACAATGATTTCCATTTCTTTTTAACGGTTGCAATGTCCATATCTACAAAAGGCAAAATACGTTCAGATACAGTAGTGAATTTTATACTTAAATTATTAACGTAGTGTCACGTCCAGCGCACATTTTTCGCTGACGTGGTTAGTAACGATAGTAATTGCCCACCCGATAGGTATCACTGGCGCGGCGCGGCTACTAGCACGCGCGCAACACGTGATTAGCAGATATTCGCTCTCCTTCTTTTCCAAGTTTAACGATAGAATTAAGCGATTAATTGACGATAGCCGAGGCAGCCACTATAGCAGACGAATCCTTGGCGCCTCCGCTTTCGCCCCAAATTAATAAAAAGTTAATAATAACGAACAATAAGCTAACATCGACGATTTCCGTGGAAGGAGTGAACTCCACGGGAACCGTTGATCACAGCCGCGTGCGAGGGCGCTATGCGCCTCCACCGCTAGCCACAATGGCAATCAGGGCCATTAAAAACCGCTGTAAATAAGAGAAATATACCATTTATAGAAATTCCGGCGAAGCTTCTAGAAGGTTCGATGCCTACGTGACTCGACGCGATATAGCGGAACTCTAGGGAGAAAAACAAGGGATCGGTATGCGGATTAATTAATCGGCGGCGCGCGGCAAATTTAAAGTTTGAAAAACGGCATAAGGATGAACGGAGGCCCTTTGCCAAGGTGACCAAAGCTCAAATTGTTTAGAGCACCGGAAGGTGCAATAATTAGCACATTAAAGGAAAATTCCAAAGGGCCCCCGCTCATCACCACTTCCGCACTTGCCCTACAACCTAACAGTATATAAGCGGACCATCGGAGCCCGAATTCCCAGTACGTTTTCCAACGTTTCACGAGACGAAGCTCTGTCCGAAAGCCAAGCCTCAGGAAAAGGGAAAATAAGTAAGGAAGGCAAAGCTCTGCCCGACTATAACCCGGCGAGATAAAGTCTCTGCCTGTAGACGGAGTGAGTGAGAGTGTGATAACCGGAGTGAAAGTAAGTGGATTAACACAGTGACACCTAACCATCATTTAATATCCTGCCCCGTCGAGGTAATAATTAATTACTGTACGCGGAATACCCTGTTGTCCGGTAGTAATACTCTGCCCCCGCCTCCTTCGGCGACGAAAACTGTGACACCTCCACCTTTCGGATGCGCGCTCGCTACCGGGCGTTCTTCTGATCCGTCTGCCACCTCGGATGCGCGCTCTCCACAGGGCGTTCTTCCAATCTTACCTCCACCTTTCGGATGCGCGCTCGCTGCCGGGCGTTCTTCCGAGATTCCTCCACCTTCGAATGCGCGCTCTTGCACAGGGCGTTCTTCGTTGGAACCAATCCACCAGCCCGGCATTAAGCATCCGGGTCCTATCTGAATCACGTATACCTTCGCCTCTTTTTCTGTTTCCTTACGCCTCGTACCTTTTGTTTTGTTGTTTCTTTTTCGCCGTCGTCTCCGTTCCCCGAGTCAGACCCCACAAAAGAAAAGGGGGACTCATCCAGACAAATCACGACAATTTTTCCATCTCTCATTGCTACCGGCAATTTAACAGGGTCCCCTCGCTGTTAGGGAAACCTCGAATGGGCACCTGGCACACGGGGAAATAAACGAACCAAACAACGTTGTTCCAGATACGCATTGTGGTTTTTCGGAACAAGCTTTGCGCCATAAGGCATGCAAATACGCAAATGCTCAGGCCACGACGGCCCCGACATATTATGTTAACTCTCACGTTCCTTTTCTTTTCTTTTGCTTAAGATCCGTTACATCGGACAGGGACGATCTTGTTCCCTAGTAAAATTTTGTTTCTTTTACATCGTTCCTCCTTTTTAGTTGTTATTAAGTCTGTTAACGAAACCATTCAAGTATCTTGTTTCGCGGTAGTTATAAGGTAGTTAAAGTGGATATAGCGTTGCAATGGAGTACAATGATGATAGCAACGCAACTGAATCCCAGTGATTAATGGCACGCTACTGAGTACTCCCACAAAAACCAATGCTTTCCACCCACGAGTAAAGCAAACGGGAGGAGGAATACTACGCAACTCCGTGCAATTCCGTGTGTGCCAGAGCAGGACACCGTTATTTACCCTCCCCACTAATTAACCCACACATTCCCTCTCGTGTGAATAACCAAATTTAATCATGAGTGCCTTCCGCAGGGAGCCCTATTATGGGCCGGTCCTGCCGCTCAGGGCGGCAGCGCCAATTACGGCGTCTGGTTAAGGCGCACCACCAGGTGCGGGTGTTTGACCCGCGGGTCTTCGACCGGTGTGCCCGTAAGGCCCCTGTGCCAGCGCCCCGGGAGACGCACCACCCGCCACCGCCTCTCCCTCACGCGCAACCTCCTCCCCCTTACTCGCGACTTCCTCCCCCGCATTCTCAACCCCGCATTCCTAACCTCATCCCCCATACCCTCAACCTCCTCCTCCGAAGCTTCCTCTCCCGCGCGCCGAGAAGCTTCAGGCACCTCCTGTCCGCCCACCCCCACTAACCTCCGGCGAGCACTGTCCCCAACGGGTGTAGAAGCCGCGGCCTCCAATCACCCCTCCACCACGGGCACCTCTGGCCTCAATCCCCGGCCCAGCACCGTCGCCCGTCGTAAAGGAACCGGCGATCGCCCGGGCACCCACCGCTCGTCCGCGGGTGGTTTCGGTCGTGCCACTCCAGCGGAGGATCAAAATTATTCTCCCGCGCGTCGACGTTCCGAAAAGGGGACGGAACATGCCCCTATTATAGGTCACACATACGTCATGTACATTCATTCTAAATAAAATAGGCATACACCCACATTCACACACACACGCACACGCACACGCACACACACACACAACTTTCACATCTCCTCTTCCTTCTCTGCCTTTCCTCTTCTCGTCAGAAGATTTCTGACGTCCCCCACGCCAAAATAAAAACGCGGGACGTAACAGTAGATTAAAGTAAATGTAGAATATAGTATACTATATTCTACATAAATAAATAGTGATAATCTACATTAATAATTATAATTATTAGTGTAGAATGTTATTATTTATTGATGCAGAAACTTCTTCCCAGAGCTTTTTGCTTTCTCATAGAGGAAGCTTTGTTTTCATGCGAAAATTTTTTTTTGGGTTTTCTATGCCAATGTTTAGAATGTTTAAAAAACTAAAAAAACACTTATTTAAAAAATGTGTGTGTGTGTGTGTGCGCAATAATTTTTCGCAATCTCACCTACGCATTTTTTGAGATATTCTAAAAAAAACACACTTCAAAAATGTATACGTGTGTGTGTGTGCCCAAAAATTGTTCGCGCTCTCTCCTCCGCAATTTTTGAGATATCGCCCTCTACTTTGGCACATTTATTTAGTGTCATTAGGAGAGGGTTGGTATTGTATTTCACTTTAATCGGTGCAAGGGTTCAGTTTATACATACATATATATGTATATTTACGTTGAAATTCCTGATTAAATTTTTAAATATTCAAGATATCGGGCTATTTCTAATTCTATTATTCTTTCCAGTCTTTTCTACCCCTATTTCATATATAATTGATTAATATTCAGTTTATTATTTCTGGAGTTATAGATGTTTGAAATTTCCCGGAATCCGTACATGAACACTTTTTCATTATACCGGGTGTATCAAAATTGAAGCTACAAAATGTAATGGTGAAATACATTAGTATAAGCAAAAAGTTCGAATAAACATAGGTAGAGGCCCATCTTTTTCATTATACAGGGTGTTTCAGAAGTGATGGTACACAATGTAATGAAGAAATGTACACACTTGTAGATGCAAAAAATTTCAATACACATAGGTACAGACATACATCTTGAATATGGCGATCACCGGTAAAAGGTTTTTTAAATTTTTAATTTTTTTTTATAAATGTCTGTGGTTGGTGAAACTATCGCAAATTTTCTTTAACAATGATTTCCAAAAATTTCAAATGTCTATAACTCAAGAAATAATTAATCATATTGCTTCCTCATAGAGGAAGCTTTGTTTTCGCGAAAAATTTTTTTTTCCAGTTTTCTTTGGGAATACGTTTAAAATATTTTAAAACGACAAAAAAACATATTTTTACAAAATGTCTGTATGTGTGTGTGTGTGTGTGTGTGTATGTACGCTTTCGAATGTCTGTGGTTGCTCTAACTTCCCTAAATTTTGAGATATCGGGCTAATTGTTTTTTAAAACGTAGAGAATCCCTAAAGGAAGGTCGGTATTGATTTTTGCGATGATCGGTAAACGGGTTTCTTTTTGAAAAAATTTTTAATTTTCCCAGAAATGTCTGTGGTTGCTCTAACTTTTGCAAA